CAGAGAGGCACAAAAAGGAAGGGGGGAAGTCAGTGAGTGTCCAGGTAAAACACTGGGACATCCAGCAATACATCACCACCTATTACCCTGAACAATATAATATACATCAGTGTGAAATGTGCTAATCTGTATAACAAATACTTTTACTTTTGGTACTTTAAGTATATTTTGATGCTAATACTTGTGTACTTTTACATTTTGAATGCAGGACTTTTACTTGTAACAGAGTGTTTTTACACTGTGGTATTGCTACTTTTATGTGAATTTTATTGCATTTTAGTTTGGAGGCGTGGCTGATCACGTGACACTCTAGGATAAATCTCTACAAGTGGAGACAAACTGTCCCTCAGTGTTTTAATATCCAGATGGGATGAGCACCTAATACTTATATGGACTGCTTGGTGTTCGAGACAGGACAAGGACATACAGTACACACTCACTGGATATACAACATTCGATAGAAATGCACTTTTTAAAACTTCAATTTGAACTAAGGATGATGCTTTAATCCTGTGTGTGAGGCCACTAATGTCAGCACAGCAGTGGGCTGATACCTGTCAGTCAACCCACAGGGAAACAAAGTAAGTTTAATAGAAAACCTGAATTTTAATTGGTGAAGCTGCTTTGCAAAATAGATAGACAGATAAAATTCAATAATAATCACTTTCTGTTTTAAAGAATTTAATTAAATTTCATTTCAGTGCCGTTCAAATTCAATTTTCACATTAATTAATTCTGCAAATCTTCAGTCATTCAGTATGATGATCAGAGCAAATTCAGTTTCATGCAATTAAAAGGAAATCTTTGCTGGCACTCATTTCTTTTCATATAAACACACAAAAGCAAAAAACAGTACTTCAGATTTCTATTTCATATTGTGAATGCAGCTTGTCTTCCTCCACCCTCAATCATCTCATCCCAGCTGTCATCTTCCTCACCATCCACCCAGCAAACACAAGCAATTTACTGTGATCAGTGTGCCTACGCAAACACAAGCCAACTTAACATGACACATCCCCCACACATCTACCTCTACCCAGTAATGGCAGACTCTCATGGTGCCTTTGAGATCTCTGCCAGCGATGCCACCAGTAATCACCATCAGTCAGCAGGGTATCACCTGCACCAGGTAATGAGGCAGAACCAACCCTGATCCCACCGGACTGGACCACAGATGAGGTCTGAAACAATGGCGGAGGAGGGGGGCGAGGGGTGGAGGATGCGATGCGGCGAGCAGGAAAACAAAAGGTGGCCTCTAGAAATGAGAGGTTAACGAGATGAGATTGCACTGACCTTCACTAACGCAGGTGGGAGGTGAGCGAGAAAAAGAGATTGATGGTAAAAAGGTGAGCAGCTTTTACAAGGGAAAATAATGAAGACTTGGAATTTTTCAGAGCCTCTGTACAATATGTGCCAAATATTGTTAGGTCGAGACAGGCCTTTAAACTGCATTATGCAGCAGTGTTGTAGTCGGGTCACTACACCTTGAGTTTGAGTTGACCCCCGAGTCCCCAGTGTTCGAGTCTGAGTCAAGTCTGAGACGCCAAAGAATAGGCAGAGCCCCTGATACAGATACAGCATGGTGTGGGCAAACAGGTTTTAATATCAGTATCTTATGCCACATTATTATGGCCTATTATTATTATTATGGTCTCCAACTTCTGAGTCCAAATGCAGTCAATGCTTGGGCCTGAGTCCAAGTCAGAGTCATCAGTGCTCAAGTCCAATTTGAGTCTGTGTTGGTATTTACAAGGGAAGATATCAAAATGTTACACAGAGGTTTTTCCAGCGGTTCATCCCCTGAGAACATGAATGAAATGTAGTACTTATACTCAAATGTTAGGGCGCAGTGCTCTCGCCGCTGCGGCCTGGGTTCGAGTCAGGGTTGTGTCAGGAAGGGCATCCAGCGTAAAACATGTGCCAAATGTCAACATGTAAATCATCAGTGTGATGATTCGCGGTGGAGACCCCTAATGGGAAGAAGCCAAAAGTGACATTTACTGAACTTATATAAAAGTGTGAGCTAACTTGTACTTTACCTATTTCTATTTCCTGCTACTTTATAATTTTACTCTACCAGATTTCAGAGAGAAAAACTGGGCTTCTTACTCCACTATGTTTATTAGACAGCTATAATGACAGCATACTTTTTAGATAAGAATTTCAAATTAAAAATATTAAGCTAATAAAATAAAATGCATTATTAAACGTTAAAGTAGTAGCTCCAAACCACATTTAGTTTGTGACGTTATAAAAAAAAGCTGTTGCGTTTCAGATGTTAATGAGTTGTTAGCAGTTCCAGCAGATGCATTTCTCTATTTAACCTCTCACATTTAAAGAATCAAAGAGGTAGAAATATCTTATATTTCAATCTTAAAAAAAGATTATGAAAAAAATGAACAGATTTGTGTTGCAGAAATTATATAACAACTTATATAATAACTTATTAGTCAAAGGAGCTGTAATTTTACTTTAGAGGGATTTTGAATGCAGCATATGTAGCGGAAAATTTATAGACTGTTGTACTAAGTATTGAATATAAGTACTTTGGCCATCACTGAAGCATCTTTGGCAAATTAATCTAGAAATAAGGCTGACAAAATATAAATTATTTAATTCTTCGATATTGTATATGCTACATTTTTCCCTGGTTCCAATTTAATTAACAAGTCATCTAATTTTTAACCAAAGAAACGTCACACTTTAAGTTTACAGGTCAGTTTGCTGCTATTATTTGGGCTGAAAGCCGTTCTTCAGATAGGGTGGGGAGTCACGTAAACAGCTAGTGCAAAATATGGCCAAATATGTCTCAGTCTGTCAGTGGCCTGCCAAGTCCAGATGTCAATCAGTGAATTTTAGGGTGACAACTTGGTTAAAGGTTTGGATAAGGGTTAGGGTAAGTCTTTAGGAAGTGAATGTAAGTCAACGTAAAGTCTTCTTGAGGACTGACAACAAACTTGTGTCTGTGTGTGTATTTCTGTGGCGTTTGACCCTGAAGGGCTGCAGACGTATTTTCTCGATGGGAAACACCAACTCGTATTCAGTTTTTGTTTATGCATCTCAAAGTAAAACAAGAACAATACAACAATAGTTAGCCACAATTTTGTAATTATTTATGAAGTGAGCAAAACAGAAAATGAAAGGTTTTTTCCTGGTTGAAAAAGACAAGAACTTCAGTGCTGCTGTACAGAATAATACTATCTAAGCATGCTGAGTGTGCTCTGCAAAGGACCACTGACAGTAAATTTGCTTGAAAAGTCTGAACATCAGAAGAGAAAATGAGAGTTTGAGCAGTGTACTGTAGATCCAGCGTACATGTCATTAGCTGGTTACCACCTCCTCAGTCTAAGGGTGCAGCAGACACCTTCTGTACTGAGTGAGAGTGTCTGGACTGGTGATTGAATCATCCAGAATATCAGAATTAAATGAACACAGAACATATAATACAAATCATTTTAGTTTGAATGCTGGCAGTTTAACATTTGGGGAAGAAAGCACTGGCCCCGCTGAAGTGTCCTAAAACATGGCACCAAGCCTGAAGCAGCTTCAGGTCTGCTGTCCTCATGCAGACAGACATACAGTAAGAAAAGAGAAATTATCCTGCAGCCATCATTAGACTGTCACCCAAATTAAGGAGAAGGTCTTACCGGTGTGTAGCTGTGTACGTTGCTGCTGCTGCTGACGGCAGTGTTCAGGTTGTTAAGGTTGACGGACGCCAAACTCTGCTCTGAGAGACTGTTGCTCAGGCTGCCACCCAGACTCCCAGGACTCTCACTGCCTTCTGCCTCAGGGTTGTACAGTGCTACCTACACACACACACACACACACACACACCGGATCCATGTTAACATGCCAATAAAAGGTAAACTATATAAAGAGCCAACATTCTGAGGCAATAGACAGTATTAATTCACAGGTACAGTAGAGAATCTCTCATTTTGTCCCTTTGCCAATTCATATCCAAACTGAAGTGAGCACTGCCCCACCTCATGAAGTTACCCACGCACCATTAACTTATGAGGCAAGTCATGGGGAAATATGGAAAATAAATTGCTGAAAGCAAATTAGCCCTGCTTCTTAAAATAAAAGCTCAGGACCTAAGCTTTTATCCTTAAACGTGGTGATTGTGCTTAAATGTCTTGATCCAGAGACCGCTGGGTAACAGAAATTACATTACTGAGTTTGGCACCAGTGAAGACACAAGTATACTGTACTGTATTTTGACTAACAGTGACAAATCACAAAGCCTTTAAAAGCAGTGCCTTATGTTAAATTGTGTTTTTCTTGTTTCCTTTGGCTATCAGTACTTGTGAAGCAGTGTGCCAGCATTACCTCCAGGCTACGTTTAATTGTATAGACAAATGTGAAATTATAGCCTGTGGGGGAGACAACATTAAAGGTTCTCTGGAACAGTGCTCCATCCTGTAGAAGATCTTCAAGCAGGAGAAAGTATGTCTGGGGGGTGATTGTTAATCCTGAGTCATTCTTCTTAGTGGTTGTGGTGACATCTGTAGTAAGGGAACCTGTAATTCACTTTGCCGTGTCAGTGCAGTAAGAGCTGATTATGTGGTTTAAAAAAATGTTTGAGGTTTACATCTATGCATTACAAATAAATCATAGCCAAACACCTTACCATGTTTATAGAAAGGATTAAAGATTTTTGATTTTTAGACTTAGCAGACCTTCATTAAAAATTACAAGTAAGACCTTCACTAAGAATTACAAGTAAAAACAAAATATCTGGATGCAATGATGACTATTAAAATCCTTCTCAAGAAAAATCCTCTGTGGTGTTCTAATTTCCTAAAATCATATAATAAGAAACACATAGGCATTCTCCAATACAAAAAGAATATTAGTGAGCGAATGTGTTATTGAAGAGGCTCTGACGCACTGCTTTGCCTGCAGGACACCACCTGTCTGGATGTGGGTGGATATCATTGACGTTGGCATCAGCACTGTTATCATCAAGGTCCTCCTCTCCCTGCTCCCTGCTGAGTCATTGTTTCAAAACGTATAGCGATGACTAAGGCCACTCGAGTTTTAGCCAGGACTAAAACAGAGTAGCTGCAAACTGGCATGATGAAGGTAAATGGCTTGTTCCTGTTGTCTCTCCACCTGCTGTCTGAGTGACACATCAAATGTTGCAAACAATAACCGCTTGATGCTGATATCAGTAACTGCTAATGTTGTTCCCCTCTTGTTTTGCTTGTCAAATTGCACAACGTTTTCTCCCATGGATCTAATAACACTGGAGAAGCTTTGACAGATTGGGTCAGTAACTATAATGGCATTGTTCAAACTATGATGGCACAAAGTGTGATGGTATCATAATAACTGCTGTCAGAAAATCAAACTGTTATCTATATTTCTAATTCTTCAAAAGCTAATTATTTTGTTGATAATTTTGTCTGACCAAAAGTCTAAACCTCAAATATGCTAATTTACAATGTAATGAATTAGAGAAAAGCAGCCAGTCTTCACCCTTAAGAGGCTGGAGGCAGCAAATGCTCAATATATTGGTGGATAAATACAGTAACATAAAATGTAAGTGGCTATATAATGGTGGTGAGAAAAAACTATAATCATATTCCTATAAACACTGGGATCCCATTGTTTCATATTAAGCTAAGATCTGTGAAAAGTGCAGAATGGAAAACTTAAACAAGCTGTCAAGTCCAGACCAAACACCCAGAGTTATGTGAGCTGCTGCTGTGGAAAGTCTCTCTTTGGTTGGGGTCAGACGGAGAGGTCGCATAACACGCATCATCATTCTGAATGTGTGCGTGCGTGCACACATGCCAGATCAGACAGGCGTCAGAGGTCCTGGTCTCCGCTTGATCCCTGACCCTCATACAGACGGTTACACCCAGTTTAGCCTTTCAGCCAGTGTGTGTATGTCTGTGTGTGTGGGTGCGTGGATGTGTCATTTCATAAGGTTCAAGACTTCTGAAACACTCCAGGCCACTGAGGGTGAGAGAGGAAAAGCAGAGAGAACTCCTGCTACAGTTACTATTATTTATAGCCTTGACAAAGTTCAGCACATTCTTCTCAGCATCAAGAACAAATGACTACAGCTTTTTGACTAATACACTTGTCAAAATCACCATTACACATCATTAGCACATGAATATTCATTAGGACTAAAAAGTCAATAAAGTACAATCTTACTCAACTTTTCAGCGATTTAAAGTAACTGTATGTAAAATTTGTGGACCCTGAAACATGATATTACTAGCACACACGAGCAGCTCATACTTAAAGGTAAACTTGAGTCAACCACACATGGCTCACTCTTGACTTCAGAAAGCAAAGGCTGCGTTACTATTGCTAGAAATGTATCTCCTCTGGTCCCCTGCCACTGAAATGACTTGGCTCAGACTCAGAGTCATTCTTAAACCTTTGACAATTATTTTGTTTAGTTACTTTGGTTATTAGCTGTAACAACAAGCCAATAACCACAGTGAGTTAGCTTGCCTACACAGGCGCGACTTGTGGTAGGGTGCTCCCTTAGCTATATTTGATTTTAATTTGAATCCTATTTTACTCTGTTGAGGACTGTATAGCTGAGATGGAGTCGTATGTGTACAAGAATATCTCTTTTTCAGGAATGACCTGGCCAAGAGGGCAGCAAAGGTTACAACAGTAGATTGTTACAACAATGCTTGGTTATGAGACCTGAAGCTTCTCTGCCCAACAAATGTCCAACAAATCTGAAACGTTCTTGTCTCTTGACTAACCCTCATCACCACTGTTTATTTTTACTGGTTTGTGAGGTGCAGACACTGGTTGATGACGGCAGGCAGTGTGTGCATGTGCAGAGGAGTGAGATGTTTAAAAAAAACACACATTAATTCAGGTCTTTTATTGCGTTATGACTCAGAGAAGGAGCCGCCGCTACAGCTCTAACATCTGACCGTTTTGGTGAGTGGAACCAAATCACCAGGAGACTAAAATAACCATCTTCTTTTTTAGAACACTGACATCCACTTGTCCTTTTCACATCAGACAGTAGCTTTGCCTCACATTTCTTCTCTGCTGCAACTCTCCTTTGCACCTGGGTGGCATTCATCTAGCGCTTCTGCTTCTGATTCTGATTATTTTCATCAAAGGTACTCTTCTTAATTTCTTTTCAGCCACTTCTTGTGAGGCTCAAACTAAACACACCAGAAATCACTCCTTACCGCTCTTTGCGCCTCCCGTCCCGCCCTGTTTCCTAAAGCTACGACATGATCTACAACTGCCTGGGTGCGACAAACATGCTGTTTACTGACTAAAGAGTAAATATGTCAGTCCAGCAGAACATTCTGGTTACTGCTAATGTGAGGAAGGAAATCAACTTCTTTGGTCTGGCAGCTACTGTTTCGGTCGCGATCTGATGTGCAGCTGATGAGAGCTCCTTCACATTGAAAAATGCTCTCTTTAACCATCGCTGGGTGGCAGGCAGGGCTAATTTATGAACCGCAGTTTAAAAACACAGTGTAGAAGAGCTGAAATAACAGGGCTGAACGTGGCACAGTGTCACTGGGGGAGGTAGCTGAGAGACACCACACCCTGTCCCATTTGTTTTCCATTTATCAAGCGATGTGTTAAATCCTAGTTAATGCACCTTTAACATTAAATCTGCAGAATATTTTTGTTGTTTAACTTATTAATCATTTTGACTATTAAAGTCTATTGTCAGATTTGAATTAAACCACACACTATGACATATCTTCCCATTTGAGAAGCTGATACCTTTAAATGTTAAGTCATCACAGCTCTACAGTCAGCAGTACACAAATACTACTTCTATAATACTTTGTTAGAAATCTTTTAGCATGTTTTTAAATTAACAAACAGATCAACACAGTATCATCACTCCGTCATACAGGACCATCTAAACAATTGGCATTTATCCCACCACAGCACTTCAATAGCTTCCTACCTTTGACCATAAAAGAATCAGACCAGAAGAAACGACAGACATGCACTGCACTCTAAGATATATTTCCGGTGGCATAAATCTCTTGCACCTGTGCTGTTGCTCTAGTTTCTATCGTTTTTAATAACAGCTGAGGGACGAGGATATTATGGTCCCTCAGGCACAGATAAAACCAAATCTTTCATAAAAGACAAGCTGGTGTCATACCTTGTTGGTTACAGTATTGATGGCCAGAGTAGGAGATGCCCCTCCTGACATGATGCAGTCCATCCTCAAAGACTCTGACTCCAGGCTGTAAGGAGTCGACGCCTGCAAAGGGAACAGTACACGAGAGTGAGAGGGGCACGACAGAGGGATACAGTGTTCTTTCTTCAGCTTCCCAAATAAGCAGTGAAGACTGAAAAACAATCTGTTCTTCTAGTACATCATCAGCAATGGGCCTTTTGACGTCAGAGTAAAAAAGAACACATAAAAATAATAATAATAATATCAGTGACTAAACTTAAATAGCTGCTTCAGTTTCAGGTCCTTGAATTGGTCATGGAGACTCACTCTCATACTGCCTGACTTACTGGAACAGAGCCTTTGCTAATGCTATAGTAACACCTGTGCTTTATGACAAAATAAAGTGCTGGTGAAAAGGCCTTGATGCTTTGTGTTTACAGTTAACACTGTGATAATGTTAATGCTTCTGATTCATCCAACTATAATGATTCTTTACTGAGCCTCCTGAATCACCACCATGTCCAGAACATATGAGTGGAGTGCAGTATATGTAAAATTAAACAAATCAATGAGCCTAATTAAATAAAAAAAATATACAGTACACCTGTATGACCTTTCATTTTCCTTTTTATTAGTACTTTAGGAACTCCATTATTGAGTTTGCAATGGCCAATTTTTGACTGAAAAGTGTTGGAAGACCGTGCAAAACACAGATGCATTCTCAATTGGGCTTGTGCACACATCACGCTTGTGGTGTGAGCAGTACCGGAGTGAAACTGGAGCGGGGCATAGGCCAACGCTGCCTGCTTGATAAAGATTTTTTGAAAAGCAGCTCTGCACTCTGTCCAAAATGCCCACGCTCACTTGTGCTCTGCTAGGGTCACATCCTCTGATGTGAACTAGTCAAGGTGAGCTTCATTTAATTGCCGGGCACTCGGACAACCTGGAAAGTGGGCATATCACTTGTGCTTTATAAATCAAGTCTTCCTCATGCATTATAGACAGGTAAAATGTATTCAGCAGCACTTCACTTTTATCCTCAAAGAGCTAAAGTTGGGTTCACTGAGTGTGAGGATATGAGGAACTATTCAAAGATCAATGAGCAGGTAAACCGACACCAACAAAGTAAAAGAAGAAATTGAGGAAAATGTTTTTTCCCCTTGCCTGACTCGTTTCAGGGTTCAAGACAGCTTGCCTTCCTCCTCAAACTGCTTACAGTAAGAGGATTTGTTGGTAACAATACAATCTTTAATTTATGATAAACTCCCAGTGAAATGGGTTGTTGGTTCCCTGGTGGAGGCACTTAAAAAGAAGACAACAAAGACAAGAAGACAGGAGCGAGGAAGACTTGTGGAAGAAGGGGGTAGAAAAAGAAGAATAGGTAGGGAGATAATTGAGTGACAATGGACAGACAGACAGACAGACAGACAGGAAATGAAAGGGTGATTATGCTGAGGGAACAGGAGATGCAGGTGCTAAGTGTTCATGTCTACACATTTATACAAAGCATTTATGCAGCTGACGTTTAGCCTCACTGCCAACTTCAAATCTTTTTATTTGCACAGATGCTGTCATCAAGAGGCTTTAAAGACTTTGAATGTGTATCCTAGGTGCAACACAACCCCAGTGAAAACACTATGACTATGACATATTTAGCTCACCTTTTTTTTCAGATGGTGATACCACTATAAATCTTAGCACTTAAAACCTCCCTGTTTCTCTTTTAGTCCATGTGACAGCCCACAGTGTGTCTGCCAGCGGTGCAAGTGAGGCGTAAGAAAAGGGGTCGAAGGCCCCATCCATGTAAGACAATATGACAAGGCTCTGAATTAATTAATGTTTGTAAAAAAAAAAAAAAAAATTCAGTGAAGAAAATATTTCTAACGGCAGCCCCAGGGCCTTCTGTGGTAATTAACTGGAACACAAGCTTCTCACTCCTCCCTCTGCTGCCTCCTACTCTTTTCCCTCCTTTCCCTTGCAGCTCGACTTTTTCCTGTTCCCTCTACTTTGATGTCTTTTTTTGCGTCCTTTCTTTCACACTTCTTTATATTTACCCCCTTTCTCTCCCTTTAACCTCAGTTCTTCCTCCAATGAGCAACAGCGATTGTGCATTTTACCGCTCGGTGCCTGTCTAAATTCCCCGGGGAAGAGGCTAAAGCAGCAATACAGGCAGAGACATAGGAAAGAGTTGCAGACAAACAGATAAACACGCAGACAGGAAGATAATGATCTAGATGCACAAACAACGACAGAGACACAAGATGAACAGTTGTTCTGCATCTCAATAATAAACCAAGTCAGATTCAGAAAATCCTCATTTGGTCAGCTGCTGGATACAAACATGTACAGTACTGTATGAAGTAAAAAATAAAAAGGTACAGGAATACTGAAATTAGGGCTTCCTTGACAGATAGACTGACACAGCAGGTCTTTTGCTTGGTTCACTGTACCAGCTGATTTCACTATCTGGATGCTCAACCCTGGTTTAAGTCATAAAAACCAGCAGTCTAGTATTGTCTATATGTCTGTGCAGATTCTCAGTCATCCAGGTCATAGTAAACTGAAGAAACTTAGAAAAAAATCAACTGGACTAGATTTCTAGATCGAAGACGTTTCACCTTTCATCCAAGAGGCTTCATCAGTTCTGACTGACTAGTGTTGAGCTGGTGTTTCAGTCCTTTGAAACTGAGACTGAAACACCACCAAGGGGGATAGATGTAGTTTTCCCTACTCCAAAATGTTTCTGTAGGCCCCTCTGTGCGCTCTGTCCACCAAGCACTTCCAATGCAGGAGTGAACACGTGGCCAGTATGGACATGACTGCCTCTAAATCTGACCGCCACAGTATTGGATATCTCAGAGTGCTCAGCCGGTGACCAGTCGAGGCCAATCACGCTGAAAACCGGCCATTTTCAGTCTCCGTTGATCAATCGGTGCGCCTTCACTTGATTCCATCCAAGTACTGGTGTATCACTCAATGCTACAGCATCTTCTTTAATTATTAGTTTATTTCCATTGTAAAGTATAATACTGGCTCATTCAAGTTTAGGCTGGAATATCAAAAGGAATTTGTTTATTGTAATGTAATACACAGCCTTTTAGTTATGAGTCTGCTAATCAGCTGCTGAGGAGGCAGGCAACTAAATGCACAATATACATTAATCAGAGATAAAAAAAAAAAAACAACGATGCAAACAAACAAAGGTGATACAAGACCTGTGCTACATCATGGAGATCACTCTGCTGATTCTGTATTCAGATCCTCAGGTTAATGACTGAACAGCAGCTGCATTCTGCCAGGTTGATGGAGGGTGACATATATTTATAGCCTCTGCCTGTGTCAATCAATTTCCCCAAACCAATTTTCATTCCTACTTCTGTATTCCGTATACATCTATCCTGCAGCTTGTTTCTGCTGCTTCTATGACATCTTCAAAGCAGCAAACCCAGGAGCCTGTGGTTAACATGTACTGAAAAACCGCACAGTAATAGTATATGAAGTATATGGTTTATGGTTTCTGTAGAAATGAAGCATCCCCTAAACATTTCCCTCTCTTCTTGGCTTTCTACTTACTATTACATACTACTGTCCTACGTCGTGGGCCACACTGATTCATTTACACCACTGAATCACAAAAATGACACATAATAGGATAAAATATTTGCTAATTTGCTGAAGTGCTTTAAACTGTCATTTGATGTGCATTCTTCAGTGCCGAGTCTGGTCTAGTGTACCGTTTCACTGCTCTGTCATAAGTAAAGACAGCCTCATGGCCTGCTGGCCTATAATGGCATCTTTATAGCATGGACAAAGGAAAAAGACACAGTCTGTTCATGATTTCTGCAGCATCTCAGGTGTACGGAGTAGATTTTCCCATTCTCTTGTTTTTCCGCTCGTATTTCTTCTCACATGATGAGACTTTAATACTCGCACCATCATCCTAGTTGTGGGCTTTGAACCTTTGATGACAGTTAACTAGTTTAAAGAAATGTTTTTTGAAAACTAAAAAAAGAAATGCGAGATTTATAATCCCTCAAATAACAAGCGGTTAAGCCTTTACTTAGTTCAGAGATGTCAAAGTATAGTTAATACTAATAATAATAATATCATAAGGCTTTTAAAATAACAAGCTCTAATGTCAACAGGAGGATTTGATAAAGCACAGTTAAGTTACCTACCCTTTCTCCAGAGCGCGGTCTCTTCTTTGGCCTGCTGGGTACTGTGTCCTCCTTAGGATTGGTGTCTATGGCCCAGTAGGAACCCTGAAGATGGACAAACAGTTTATAATTGACAGAAGCTGCTCTGTTTGTTCATTTCTCCAGTGCTTTCAATTGCTCTGTAGGTTTAGGCTAACTTTCATACCCTTTTTTTTTATCTTTCTGGGATAAGCACTCAAAAAAATCACTTCAAACCAAAATAGAAACACCACAGGAGGCAAAATGGAACTACTTGTAAAATAAATACAAAAATGTACCTTATCCATCAAGCACAAAGGCAGCCATGATAAAAAAGACATCTGACAGAGGATGCAATTATTCATGTGTTCTGACAACTGATCGTACTGTTGGGCAGATAACTAGAAATTACAACCAAAACTCAAAACTGTCTTTGAACATGGTGCTTGAGTAAATGTAATTTGTTGCATCCTCTCTTCTTAGACATCATTATTAATCCCCGGAGGGGAAACTAGTCTGGTGACAAAGATACAAGTAAGACAGGTTACAGTCAACAACTAAGATGTGATGCAACAGGAGGACAAACTAATGCACACTAGGAAAGGTTAGGAGCCTGCCTAGGCGCTAATTTAAAAACAATGTGTTAGGTCATCTGAACCCTCCTGTTATTGACCCATTGTAAATAAAACATATAAAAACAAGTGTTAAACGTATTTTATTGGTATGAAACTTCTTCTGCTTGTCTTAATAGGTATAATCAACATATAAAATGAAAATGGTCCATTTCACATATTTGCAACCTCCCCCTGCATGTTTATATTGCAAAGATACTGTTCGGGTCAATTAAACCCTGAACAGAAGAGGTGTCTCACGTTAATTTATCAACATCACTTCATAAAAAGAAGAGATTTCCAAATGTAAAATAAAATTTAAAAAAATCAATGTCATGTAAAAATAATGTATTTTATATGTAGCTCTTGTACATTAAAAAAAGTTTTAACTTGCATTTTTTATGAAAAAGGAGTGCATTATCCTTATTGAACCATAATCTGTGAGAGGTAAAGAACACCATTGCACTAAATAGTGATTGAAATTGTTAGTAATGGTAAAATTAACCCAGGAACATCACTGCTGTTCCTGAGAAATGAACATAACAGGTGGGTTAACCAGTAAAACAAGCAACACACTGTTTATGAAGTGAAACCTTGAACATCAGCAATGCTTAAAACTATACATGTTAAACAAAATTCACAAATTTATGACAAGAACACATTAGAGTTGGACTGATAAAATTCCCAGGCTGATATATCTGCTGATATTATCTTAAAGCAGATATATCCATATTGGTATGTTCCATATACTGTATGTCTGCTTAGAAGTAACAAGAAATTGCAGTAGAGAAAGGCCAAAGCAGTTCTGAGATCACTTATATCCATTACATGGTCTGTATCGCACAAAGCGACAGTTACAATTAGGCTTTTGTGAATCTTGGTCAGATGTAAAAGTGTGTATCAAGATTGCTTTCAGAACTTATATAGTCATGTAAAAAAAACTCTGTGGATATATCTTCATCAAATTTTTAAAACTCCCAAATATTAATATCAGTATGGGCCTCAAAAATCCAGCATTGGTTAGGCTGCAAACACAACCCATTCAAAAATCACATCTATGGGCACGACTTTCTAAAACTTTGGACTATTTTGCATCTGTAATTGGTCACTAAATGCATATTTTGTGATAACCTTCCAAATGAAGTCTGGCTTCAGTTCTTCTCTTAGTTCCTTCCTCCAGAACCTTCTGTTAAACTGTTTATAGATCCAGCCTTTTAATGAACTATAAATACAAACCCGATTCCAAAAAAGTTGGGACACTGTACAACATGTGAATAAAAACAGAATGCAATGATGTGGAAGGTTGAAATTCCAGTATTTTATTCAGAATAGAATATAGATAACATATCAAATGTTGAAAGTGAGACATTTTGAAATGTCATGCCAAATATTGGCTCATCTTGGATTTCATGGGAGCTACACATTCCAAAAACGTTGGGACAGGTAGCAATAAGAGGCCGGAAAAGTTAAATGTACATATAAGGAACAGCTGGAGGACCAATTTGCATGTTATCAGGTCAATTGGCAACATGATTGGGTATAAAAAGAGCCTCTCAGAGTGGCAGTGTCTCTCAGACGTCAAGATGGGCAGAGGATCACCAATTCCACCAATGCTGCGGCGAAAAATAGTGCAGCAATATCAGAAAGGAGTTTCTCAGAGAAGAATTGCAAAGAGTGTGAAGTTATCATCATCTACAGTGCATAATATCATCCAAAGATTCAGAGAATCTGGAACAATCTCCGTGCGTAAGGGTCAAGGCCGGAAAACCATACTGGATGCCCGTGATCTTCGGGCCCTTAGACGGCACTGCATCACATACAGGAATGCTACTGTAATGGAAATCACAACATGGGCTCAGGAATACTTCCAGAAAACATTGTCGGTGAACACAATCCGCCGTGCCATTCACCGTTGCCGGCTAAAACTTTATAGGTCGAAAAAGAAGCCATATCTAAACATGATCCAGAAGCGCAGGCGTTTTCTCTGGGCCAAGGCTAATTTAAAATGGACTGTGGTAAAGTGGAAAACTGTTCTGTGGTCAGACGAATCGAGATTTGAAGTTCTTTTTGGAAAACTGGGACGCCATGTCATCCGGACTAAAGAGGACAAGGACAACCCAAGTTGTTATCAGCGCTCGATTCAGAAGCCTGCATCTCTGATGGTATGGGGTTGCATGAGTGCGTGTGGCATGGGCAGCTTACACATCTGGAAAGGCACCATCAATGCTGAACGCTATGTCCATGTTCTAGAACAACATATGCTCCCATCCAGACGTCGTCTCTTTCAGGGAAGACCTTGCATCTTCCAACAGGACAATGCCAGACCACATACTGCATCAATTACAACATCATGGCTGCGTAGAAGAAGGATCCGGGTACTGAAATGGCCAGCCTGCAGTCCAGATCTGTCACCCATAGAAAACATTTGGCGCATCATAAAGAGGAAGATGCGACAAAGAAGACCTAAGACAGTTGAGCAACTGGAAGCCTGTATTAGACAAGAATGGGACAACATTCCTATTCCTAAACTTGAGCAACTTGTCTCCTCAGTCCCCAGACGTTTGCAGACTGTGATAAAAAGAAGAGGGGATTCCACACAGTGGTGAACATGGCCTTGTCCCAACTTTTTTGAGATGTGTTGATGCCATGAAATTTAAAATCACCTTATTTTTCCCTTAAAATGATGCATTTTCTCAGTTTGAACATTTGATGTGTCATCTATGTTGTATTCTGAATAAAATATTGAAATTTGAAACTTCCACATCATTGCATTCTGTTTTTATTCACATTTTGTACAGTGTCCCAACTTTTTTGGACTCTGGTTTGTACTGTATCTGAGTTTTATCTTTAAAATGTTGTTGTAAATAATGACCTGGCTGAGTATGATGTTCCTACTTTGCACAGTCATTTTTTTAAATCACATTAAATAATTAGCTAGATTGGAACATATACTATATATCATGTTATTCACATGTTATATTTGTTATCTGTCAGTTTATATCTGTGCCGGTGTCATATTCATCCCACATTTCCATCTGATGCATAAGTATTTCCTCCAAATATGGACGGTATTAAGTCTCTTTTTCTTCTAACTTCTGAGGAATAATACTGTTGAGGGTACTTCAGTCCCCATAATGGGAATAACAAAGTGTCATTAAACAGAAAAAAGTGCAGCCGACAGATCTCCCTCGCATCCAATAAAACCAGTCTACAATATCAGCTGTGTCTTCCATCTAATCAGTTTTCGCTAGGTGAAGTTCTTCTGTGGCGCATGATCCTGCTTCCTTTCCCCAGAACAGCCACTGAAATCCTTTTGATACACAATGCTAAGACAGAGCAGCCTCCGAAATGAACACATACAATGAATGAGGAGGAAATCAACTGCTTTTAGGACCTTCATTTCCTTATGGTCTAAAGGTGCAGATGGATTTCAGGAGGTTCATCTAGGCCACCCACACACATACATACATACACACATGTGGTCTTTCTTTCAACAGTCAAACCCCCCCCCATTCTTGCCTCTTCTCCTCCCCCTGTCTCTCAGTCCCACATCATTGAACAGTACACAGCCAATTAACGTTAGCACATGCATGATTTAGCTTCTCCCCTCTCTCAAAAGCTTCAAATAGAGCATGTACATTCAACTTCTCTACACACATGAACCCACCCCCACACCAGGGTATCGACCACTTCAATCGATGGTGTGAATTAAGGTGCCGGTCAGGTCCAAGTCAGGCTAATCGGGGGAGACGCGCTCTTTGTGTCTTTGCAGACTACAGGCCTCAACTCAAGCCCAAGGATTTTTTTTTTTATTATTTAAACCTTATTCCCCTAATTTATTTTTCAATGGCTCCAAAGTCCCCGCAGCCTGGAGAAGGGCCCTCCTCTACCTCCCACACCCCACCATCCTCACCACTCCTCCCAAACAAAATGAGCAGAGTTTTGAGTGTTCAATGAAAAGCAGTGGCTTGTCAGTTTTTGCAAAAGTGGTGGATTACTTTATGCATTAACCCCATGGTGAGTTGAAATGCAGACTTTTGAGCTTTTATTTAAAAAATGTTGTAAGGACAAGCTTCAGTGATCAGCTGTAATTATATACTTTCCCCATTTGAGCAATTCCTTTGATTCAGCACAAACGAGGACTTGACAAATTGTTGTTATCAATGCGGCGCTGCAGTAGTGGTGGTGGCAACTCTGCTTCCTGACCACAGAAGCAGCAGTGGTGAAACGTACAGTATCTAAAGCTTCCTTCTTCCTAAAGCTCATTGTGTGTGAATATGAAAGAGAGTGAAACTGGGCCTAATAAACCATAACAGATGCGTGAACAGCCTCACATCTGAAGGAGTGTACCCACATATACTTATTATTCATTACTCCCTGTAACACATTATTACTTGGCAGAATCAATATTGGAGCCACAGAAAACAGAGAAAGCAGCATTAGGCATTCAGCACAGCCGGTTATGGAGTTACAAATTGCTTTTAAGTGCAGACACTCAGTGTGTGTGCGAGGCAAAGAAAGAGAACAAGTGAGTATGGGTGTCTTTGGGTACACAAACGTGCACATATGCGGCCTTGTGCCGCACGTGTGCGTGAAATGGAATCGCTATAGCATCTGCCTAATTTGTAAGCTTGCTGAAATAGGTTTGCATTTTTATTGTGTCGCACCAAAATTCATGCTGAGCTTTTCAGTCACACTGCATTGTTCAGGAAATACTTACTTTTCCAGGGTCATCTTTGGAGCGAGGCACTTTGAGAAAACACTTGTTCAAGGACAGATTGTGTCGTATAGAATTCTGCAGGGAGAGACAGACAGACGAGGACAACAGAGGAAGAGAGAAAGGGAGGGAAAGAAAAGAAAGGAGAAAACAAGAATCAGAACAAAAAATGGTTAGAATAACCTAACACTACATCCACTTTTACATGCAAGCAAATTACATTTAGTCTCTTTACTATACTATCAGCTGATTCTTGTGCCAGTCCATGGTATTAATTGGAAGCTATTTCTTCCATATTTTTTTTTCATAAATTTTACATTAGGACGCAGTTTAAAATATTTCTTCTTCACAAAGTTTCATTTTTTCAGGCTTCTCTCTGTCAATTCCTCATTTCCTGTGGAAAAACTAGATTTAGCCTAAAACAATTTGACAAAGGAAAGCACTTTCAGCTGAGTTCAGCTGCTCATACCAATTGTACACATGTAAAGAGAGAGAGGTCAAACAGAGATGCTGTTTCTTCTTAAAGGGACACATGCTGTTTTTTTAAGAACAATACATTCCTTATTGTCTCTGTGTACATCTGAAACAAGCTGCAATGAATCCATATTTTATGTAGATGTTGTATTTATGGTTAAAGCTTTGATTGTTGTTGTTTGTTTGCTCTTGTTTTTTTTGTCTTCTTCTCTAGTTGTTTTTTTTTTTTTGTAGCTGCTCTAGTAAAAATGCTGGTGTAGTCTGTTTCTTCCTTTTTAATCCTGCTAGCTATCACTAATGAAACTACCCACCTTGCCTGCAGAAGCTGTTTTCAGGAGGTGCACATGAACTCCCCCTACCATGGAGTCTCCATGCTGAATCTGTTGAAGCCCTGATAATATCAGCTAAAGTTTCAACAAGTCTTGCTCTGGACCACTGTGTTGACCATTAGTGAAAGCACTGCACAGTCAGCAGAGCAGTCTTCTACATTCCACTGCTTACTTAATATTGGAAAAAAAATGCTACACAAGTTACAGACACAGTTACACAAGAATGAAATGTGAGCCATTATAGCACAGATGTAGACAGCTGTATAGATTAAAACTGAAGCAAATCTGTTCCATCAGACACACCTGAGGCAGACGACTGAAAAAGGTGCTGAAAATGCATCCAGTGTAGACAGAGAGAACAATCTCACAGCACTTTGAGGGGGGGCTGTGAGTGTCTGTCTGGGTTTGAACGGATTTTTAAAAATGTAATGCGGGCGTGCTCAGGCTAAAACTGGGTGTTAAACTGGGCTTCGTGAATTCTCGGTCAGTTTTAAAGCATAGAACAAGTTTTGGCCTTAAGAGAAGGTGGTATTTCTACAATTTGTTACACTTCCTATTATTTGTGTGTGTATTGTGTACATGAGAGAGGAGTAAGAGAGAGAGGCTAACCTGACATGAACCTGTTCTTCCTTCAGGCTCCTGTTCTCCACTCGTCTGCTGCTGCTAATTAATACCACTGGGGAGGAGGAGGGGAGAAGACAGAGGGATGGGTGGAATTTTTCCTCTCCTTCTCCTGGGCTCTCATTGCTCAACACGGGCTTTGTTTCTCCAACAAAAATTACCTTCTCTCTGTCTCTAGCATACAGTAACAGCCTGGTCAACCTCTGCCTCGCTCTGCTCCTCCTGCAGAAACACTGCTGCGGTCTTTGGCTGTTCTGCTTAGTGGGTCATTGGCTCCTTGCAGCCATCCATCATAGAAGTGCATGACAGTCAGGTGACAAAAAAAAAAGGCAAGGAGGACTGCCACTAGCTTGGCACACATAGGCAACCATCTGTTCCAAAAGTTTCCTGTGGGAGGTGGAGGTGGATGAACACAGGGCCCACCCATGACTTCATCAGCCAGTCTAACTTGGCTAACCTTTACCTGCTGGTTGTTTATTTGCACTGTATTTTTATATTACCCAGGCCCTTCTTGCACACTTGTGCACTATATGCAACAATGCAATATATTTCAGTCTTTATACTTTTCATATTCAGGCATTTATATGCATTCTTTGTTGTGGCCGAACAGTGCACCAAAAGGTTACCAATGCTCACATTAAAAATCTCTTACTGGTGACACATTGTGCTGTTGTCCCATTACAGTATTATTCCTAGTATGGTTTAGGGTACAGGAAGCTTATTTACCTCATAAATAAGTAAGTCTCCTACAACTGGTGATCAACATGTAGACAGCACACCACGTGCTTAATGCTTTTACTAGCTGATTTACAGTAATATTGAATAATGCATCTTCCTACCATGTTCGTGTGTAATGCCATTCAACAATTCCACTGGCTCATAAATTTTACACTAGATAACATGCTAAAAATGTATATAATTAATTATATTAGCTGAATTCTGCATATGTATGATACTGTTTGCAACGTAGTACCACTTTATTTTTCATAACATAAACAGTGAACCAATTTAACACAGCCTTAAGTTCTGTTAACATTAACATCAATAAATACAAATACATGTTTCACTACTCAAGGGATTGAAGTAATTCGATCAATGCCATAAAAGTATCGAAGTTCGATACCCCGCACAAATAATATAATATAAGCAGAAGGCCACGAGTCTACAATGCGAGGCTGTCTAGAGAGAGCAATGCTCTGGGCTAAATGCTAACATGATCACAGTGGCAATGCTAGCATACTGATGTTCAACAGGTATAAATTAACAGTTGTCAATAGTTCATAAACCAAAGCAATGGGCAAATCAGAATTCTGACCTGATGATGGCGCTATAAATGACAAAGATCAGCAAAGTTATTGTAGTTCATTCTAAAGGAGTCAGGCACATCTGTGCCAACTTTCATGATAATCCATCCTATAGTTGTTGAGATACTTCAGTTTGTAATGGATTGTTCAACACTGCATTAGTGTAACTAAAAATAGAATTATCGTATGTGTCAGAATATGGGATTGTGGGTAGTGTATTGTCATGACATAGCTCATCTTTGTGTTTCCTAAATCCAGTGGTGTCCTTCAGGGAAATAAAAAATAAAATCTTTTTAAATGCTCCTTTCTCCAACCACCAACTGGCACCCACAAAATACTGTCAGCATTACATGTAAATTATCCACTATGTATGTCTATTTTTTTCTATTTATGGCTATAATTATAGTGAAACTTGGTTGTGTCAGTGCCACCCAGCCTATATATAATCATAAACAATTACAGTTTTATCTGCTTCATTTAAATTTATTGTAGTACTTTCAGTATGATCACTTTTACTATGAACATTATGACCATGTACTGCAGGGAGCCTGCATAGCATGAAGTTCATACACCACCCATGCACATGAACACACACACATTCCCAAAAGGTCAATAACACATAAAACATCCGGGGCCCGTTTCAAGAAGGAGGTTTAACAAACTCAGAGTTCAAACCCGAACTCTGAGTTGACTTACACAGAGTTGGAAAACTTGGAGTTTTCGGTTTCAGAACAGCTGAAAAGAGTTGGTTTAATCAACTCTGAGTAGGTTGACTCAGAGTTAGGCGCGTGCAGCGCGACTATAAAAAGCCCTGAACAATGGAGTGAAGACATTACGAGTCACCATGGCAACAGGACCAAGCAAAAATAGGTCTGC